GGAAGGGAAGGGTGCCTTCCTGATTAAGGGCAGAACTGGGGTGTCCTGAGCACCTGTGTGACATCCTGCAGCGTCTGACGCAGCAGCTCCACCTCGGAGCGCAGAGCCTCCACCTCCTCTGGCGACGGCTCCTGGGCACGCGTGGCCTCCTGCAAACCCACACGGCATCAGGCTGGGACTGCCACATCGTGTGTCACACCCCGAACCTCATCCCAGCCTGGACTCACCAGGTCCCTCAGCTGCCGGGTCAGCGCCTCCACCGCACGCTCCTTCTCCTAATCCTCCCCCGCGGGCGCCCCCCCCCCCCCCCCCAGCCTGTGCCGAGACATCAGGCAGCACAGGGTGCCCTCACCATCCCCACGACACCCCCAAAACCCCTCCTACCTGGCTTCCAGGGCAGCTTTCTCCAGGTCAGCATCCCGTGCCCGTGCTGCCAGCTGCTCCTCCAGCTGTGCCAGCCGCATCTCCTGCTTCTCCCGCGCGGGTCCCTCCTGGCTCTCGGCCAGCCGCAGGTTGGCAGCCAGGTGAAGGCAGGCGGCGTGGGCAGCCCTGCCCGTCCGTGATGCCTCGTGGCCCAGCTCTGAGAGGTCCCTGTGGTGGGTGGGAGATGTAGGGTGGGACTCTGTGATCCTTGGGGATCTCCAGAGACCCTCCCCAGGGCCCTGCTGACCTCTCGGTGGTGGCTTTCATCTCCCCAAAGTGACGCCTGAAGGCCACCACCTGTCTCCAGAGGGTCAGGAGCCTGCTGTGCTCATTGCTGAAGTAGGTGTTGAAGGACTGGGGGTGGAATGGAGCAGGGTCAGTGGCTGCTGGGTGCCTCACCACAGTCCCCAAATATTCCCCTTGTCCATACCCATCACCTCCACAGTCCTCCACTCCACCCCAATTCTATTCTGCCAGGAGAGGGATGGGGGACACATCTCCGTGCCTCACATCCCCTTCCCATCACATCCCACATCCTCTGTACCTCCAAAAATTCTTCACTGTGCAACATGCCCCAAAGCCCCCACATCCCTCCCAGTGGTCCTGTATAATTTTCCATAACACATTCCTGCATCCTCCTTCCTTATATCCCCTTCCCATCACATGCCACATCCTCTGCACCCCCTAAGTTTCCTTTTCACATCCCCCACGGTCCCACATCCCTCCCAGTGGATTATCACTTTCCATTATGCATCCCCACATCTCTCTGCCTCATATCCCCTTCCCACCATATACCACATTCCCTGCACCCTCAAATTCTTCCCCATGCAACATCCCCCAAAGCCCCCACATCCCTCCACGTGGTCCCTGCACTCCCTTTCATGTCACATCCCAGAATCCTTCTGCCTCATATCCTCTTTCACCACATGCCACATCCTCTGTACCTCCAAAGTTTCCTTGCAACATCCTCCACGGTCCCATATCCCTCCCAGTGGCCCTGCATCCCTCATGGTGGTCCTACATCACTTTCCATGACACATCCCCACACCCCTCTGCATCATATCCCCTTCCCATCACATCCCCTGCACCTCCAAATTCTTCCCCATGCAGCACAGCCCTGCATTTCTGCCAGTACTCCTGCGTTCCTCCCTGCATCCCTTTCCATGCCACATCCCTCTGCCTCACATCCCTCTCCCCACCATGCCTCTGTCCTGCTCCCTGCAGGATCCTGCCTCCCCCCACACCCCCAGGGTCCCCCAAACCTCCTCCTCGCGCCTCCACTCTGCCTCCCTCTGCTCCAGCTCATCCCGTGCCCGTGCCCAGTCGGCCGTGAGCTTGCGGATGTCCTCGCTCAGCGCCTCGTTGGCCACGTTGGCTTGTTCCAGCTGCTCCCGCAGCATCGAGTTCACCTGCACCAAGCTGCTGCTCCTGGGATGGGGGATGTCACCAAGGCTGAAGCATTCCCACCCCAGGGATCCCCACACCTCTCCAGGGACCCCCACTCACCTCTGCTGCTCCTCCTCCAGCCGGATCAGGGCGTTCTCCAGCTCGTTGCTGCTCTCCTCCTCTGGCTGTGAGCTGCTGGCGTCCAGCTGGCTCTGAGGGGACATCACCCTGCTCACCATCACCCCAATTTGAGGGGATTCAGGGCAGGGGACCCTCCCCCAAACTACCCCTCACCGTCAGCCTCTCCTGCTCCAGCTCTGTCGCTTTCTCCAGCAGCTGCTGCTCCACTTCGCCGCATTTCTTCTTATACTGCAGCACCTGAGCAGAAGGATGGGGGTGGGTGACACTGAGGGGGAGCGTCCCCAAAACGTCCTTCTGTCCCCTGGGAAGGATTTACCTTGGCTTGGAGCTTCTGCACCAGCTGAGCTTGTCGCTGCTGGCCCTCCTGGTACGCCTGGAGCTTGCGCTTGTAGGCGGCTTGTTCCTCCTCCAGCAGCCGCCGCAGCTCGATGTTGTGCTGGGCCAGGCTCCGGCTCTCCGCTGCCTCCCGCTCCCCTGTCTCCAGCCGCAGGGTCTGCTCCAGCTGGGATGAGGTGGGACACAGGCTGACACCCTCCCAGCACCCCTCAAACATCCCCTACCTTCACCCACAACACCCTATCCCAGCAAAGCCATCGCTTCAGGGTCAGCCCGCAGCAAACCCTGACAACCAAAGCCAAGAGCTCCCCCAAATCCCACATCCTCCTCTCTTAGCATGCTCAGGGAGAGGATGAAGGGGAAATTTTGGGGGTGCTTTAAAAAAAAAAACCACCTCAACTTTCAATCTGGGGGTTCAGCAAAGCACCATGCCATTTGGCACTGGGCTGGCTGATGGATAAAGGACCCTCAGGTGCAAGAGTAACAGTTTGCCCTAGGGTATTTTCCTGCTATTTGCTCTTTTTTGGTTGATAACCAGGCACAGTTAGCAACTGTGGGATGATGAAATAGAGGGATTTCCTCCAAAATCCCATCAGCCCCTGGGTTTCCCCAGGAGTCACATTCACCACTGGAAAGGCCAAAACCCTTTTCAGTCCCCGTTGCCATGGTGAAGGGATGCAAAGGTGAAGGATTCCCTCAGTGGTGTGGGGGGCTGCTTCCCAAAAAGCAGCAGGACAAATCCAACGGGGATGGATGGGGATGCTTTGTGCATCCCATGGGACAAGCCCTGGCAAGCCAGGATGTGTCCAGACAAGCCATGTGCATGGCACTGCAATTCCCATCACGTTGCGCCAGTCTCTCCAGCTCCAAGCAAAGGGAAGGCAAAGGCTGCACCTTCCACTTTTGGGGGTTGCACTTTTCAGCTTTTGGGATGAGGAAAAAGGGTGGAAAAAGGGTGTGTTCGGGTCACTCACCCTCTCACTGATGGCATTGTACTTGATGGCCAACTCATCGCGCTCGGCGCGGCTCTGCGCCAGCAAGTCCTCCACGCGCGACAGCTCCTGCTGCAGGATGCGATTCTCCTCCTGGAGGGACAGCAGCGAGGACATGGCCCCAGCCACTGCGGGGTGGGGACAGGGCTCAGGGACACTCTGGAGAGCAGCAGGCTGGGATCCAGCCCCAGGGCAGGGATCTGGCACCAGGACAGAGCCAAGATGCCCTTTGCTACCAAGAGCCGCTTTTGTTCTCAGCATGAAGCGGCTGAGCCTTCCCCACGCACTTGGCCCAGGCCATGAGAAGCATTTTCACTCCCTCAGCTGGAAATTCCATGCCCTCCACATCTCAGACATGCCCTCTGTGATCCCCAAACTGCTGGAAAGGCACAATTGTGGGCCCCAAGTCACAGCAAATTTGCACTTGCCATGACAAAGAACATTTAGATCCCTGTTTGCAGTCACAAAACTGCTGTGCATTTGTAGTTTCAGTCATGAACTCGCTGCAGAGTTGCATTTGCAACTGCAAACCCACTGCAAATTTCATTCTGCAGTCACAAAACTGCTGCAAATTTGTGCTTGGGATCAGAAAAGTGCTGCAGGTTTCTAGTGGCAACCACAAAACCTCTGCAGGTTTGCACTTCTGATCCCCAAACTGCTGCAAATTCAGGTTTGTGATGGTGAAACTGCTGTGAGTTTGCAGTGACAATCCCCAAATTGCTCCAGATTTGCATTTGTGATCACAAAACTGCTGCAGGTTAGCAGCTGCAATCACAAAAATCACTGAGAATCTGTGTTTGTGATTCAAGATTCATAGCTGTGATTCTGAAAGAGCCACAGATTCGCAGTTGTGACCCTAAACCCACTGCAAATTCATGTTTGTGATCCCAAAGCTGCTGAAAATTCATGTCTGTGATCCTAAAACTCCCACAGATTTGCACTTGCAATCACCAAACTGCTGCAAAATCATAGTTGTGATCCCAAACCCACTGCAAATTCAGGTTTTGAGCCCCTAACTGCTGCAAATTCAGGTTTGTGATCCCAAATTGCTGCAAATTCATGTTTTGATCCCAAACCCACTGCAATTCATGTTTAAGATCCCCAAACTGCTGCAAGTTTGCAATTCCTATCCCAAAACTGCTACAGATTCATAGTTGTGATCCCCAAACTGCTGCAAATTCAGGTTTGTGATCCCAAATTGCTGCAAATTAATGTTTTGATCCCAAACCCACTGCAAATTCACATTTTGATCCCTAAACCGCTGGGAATTCAAGTTTTGATCTCCAAACCGCTGGAAATCCAAGTTTTGATCCCCAAACCGCTGGAAATTCCTGCCCGTGCCCCTAAACCCACTGCAGCTGTGCAGTTACAATCTCCAAACTGCTGCAGATTCACAGCTGTGATCCCCAAACTGCCCCAGAAGATGCAGCACAGCCCCGCGATGTGCTATCCCCCAAACCCAGTCCCCATTCCCATTCCCAATCCCAATCCCAATCCCCCCGCTCTCCCTCCCCGGGGTAAGCAGCGATTCCTCGGGGGACACACGAGAGATCCCACCTCAACCACAGCCTCCGCTGCGCTCATGGAGCATCCCCAGCGCTCGGCACCCCCGAGCCGCTGTCTCCTGGTCCCGAAATCCCTTTTCCTGGATTTGGGGGCTGTTTAGCTCGTTGCCTGCGAGCGGAAAGCGGATGCTGGTCAGGATTAGCCCGAAATCCTCACCGCCCCCTCCCTGTGTGACGGCAGGACTGGGGACCCTCCTCTTCCTGGGCTGCCTCGGGGGGTCCCAACGCCTCCTACAGCATCACTGAACCATCCTCTCCCAAAAACATCCCCTCGGCGTTCCCGTATCCAGCAGCGCTTGGGAAATAAACCCAACCCAAAGCTCTTGGCGAGAGGAGAATGAAAAAAAAAAAAAAAGGAAGAAAAATGTAAACAAGTCCCAAGTCCTAGCGTTTCCCTCGCCCAAAATGGGTAGAAATGTCCTTACTCCGCGGCGTGACTGCCCCCCCGGGCAGGATTTGAGCTGGTTTCCAGCAGGGAATTGAGCTCCTTGGAGGGAGGCAAGTAGTCTTCTCGTTAAGCCTCGGCGTTCATTAAGCTCCTTAACGCCCAGGACTTCACTCCGCCAGGAAAAGCTCTGGGGTGGAGCGTCCAGGGGTTGCCAAGGGGTGAAGGAGCATTAAACACACCCCCGGGATGTGTTTCCCCTCCCGCCGGAGCCGCTGGAGCAGCAAATTTATTCCCCGGAGAATGAAAGTGTTTCTGTCCCCACCCAGGTAGGGAAAAGAGACGATAAATCCCCAACCCGAGCTCAATATCCCCATGGATGTGGCTGGTGGTATCCCTGCTCCCGAAATAAGGGATGAGCCCGAGCCCGAGCCCAACCCACGCTCCGGGGAGTCTCCCAGCCACTCTGCCCGCGGGGAAAGTGCCCTTTCTCCTGCAGAGATTAGGGAGCAAGCAGATGGGATTCAGGATTTACAGCGTCCCAGATTCCTCCAGCCAAGCAGGAGCTGCCTCAAAGTCCTCCTCTGAGGATCTGTATCCCCAAAAACCTCATTTCCCCTCCATTCCTTCCCTTACCTTCCCTTCCTGACGTCCTTCCAAGCATAAACCACTGCTAAGCAACAAGATTGTTGTGCTTCACCGTCTGATCTCGTTTCCTCAGCACCAGCAGGGAGAGAGAACCACAAAAGCTCATCCCAACCCCTCCAAACCTGCACAGGGGGCAGGAAAAAAAATTCCAAGTTGGCATCCAAACCATTTTATTAGTCACTTTGAAGCGTTACATTTCACCTGAGTTTGCTGCCAGGCCCAGGGAAAAGCTTTGAAAGCTAAATGCCCCTCATCCAGTTGGAAAGGGAAAGGGAAAATGCAAGGGATTGGATAAAAATAAGTGGAATTTCGTAACCAAAAGGCTTTAATATAAATAGGTAAGAAAATATTTATTTGTTTAAAGAGGAACCTCAACCCCAGAGACAGATTTCCATGTTGTCCTTCATAAATGTCCATGAAAAGAAGTAAAAAAAATCTTGTCTTCAAATAGAGGAGGAATAAAACAAACTTTCCAGAGGAAGAAATGAGGAATTCCAGCATGGAATCGCATCCCAATTAAGTGCTCAGAAAAAAAAATCATCAAGGTGATACTTGGCATCTTGGCAGGGTGTTCATCTGGATTTGGGAGTTGGGATGTCTCCAAGAAGATGCTCTTCGCTGAGGGAAGGATTTATCCAGCCCAAAAACACAAGCAGAAAGCAGAAGGGTCTCTGAGGAGACTCCAAGCACTTGCTCACCCTCTTGTTATCAAAGAGAGGGGATGAACCTGATGGTGTTTTCCCAAAAGAGAAGCCCCCAAGGTCTTCCATGATTCAGATCCCAGACATTGCAGGCACAGGTGTGTGGAGTGTATTAAGGCACGTGGTGGTTTCTTTCCAGCACTTATTCCAGCATTTTGATGCCAGACAGGATTTAAGGGCAGGAGCAGAGTGTCCTGAAGCTGCTTCTTTGGTCCCAAAGGAATCACAACGATCCCAGCACCCACATGGTGGAAAGCAGATGAGGGCAGGGTCAGAACTGAACCCAGCCCGAGTTCCCCTGAGTCTGGCTGGAAGCTGACCTGGAAAGAGGGAAAATGAGAGGGAGGTGAGACACTGTCCCAGGTTGCCCAGGGAGGCTGTGGCTGCCCCAACCCTGGCAGTGTTCACAGCCAGGTTGGCTAAAGCCTTGAGCAACCTGCTCTGGTGGGAGGTGTCCCTGCCCAGGGCAGGGGTTGGGGCTGGATCATCTCTAAACTCCATTCCAACCCCTTAACAATCTATGGATCTATAGAATGAAGGATAAAAAGGGGTTTAGACATAGAAAGGGTATCCAAGGAGGGAGCTGAGCAGCAAATGGATCCTCCAGGTTCACCCAGAGCAGCAGAGGAAGAAGTGCCCACAGACCTGAACTCAGGGAATTTGCCACACACAGTCACAGAGACTTTGCAGTCCCAAAGTTGGGGCTTGATGGAGCAGTGCCCCCACTCCAGTGGGGTTTTCCAGCAAAACAAGTTGGATTTGGGACACCCACACCCCACCCAAGCCTCTTCACAGCCTCACCCTGAAGCTTTGGCAAAGTCTCCCCAGACATCTGAGGCAGGAGCAGCTCCAGGCTGCGGCCAGGACAGCACAGAGTCTGTTGGGAAAGTCAGGAAGAGAGAAAACAAACACCAGGAGTTATGTCCCACTCTTATCCCAGATTCCTCCCTCTTTTACTCCAACTATGATGGATAAACCAGAGCCTAATGAGCTTTACAGTCATCCACAGACCTGTGATGGGTGTTCCTGGGAGCTGGGTGGGGGTGGAGAGCGAGGATGGACGCTCTCCAGAGGAGGATTTTCCACCAGGAGGTGGTGGGAGCAAGCTCAGACCCCCAAGTCCTGCAGGACGTTGTCTGGTGTTCCCTGTTGCTCCTTCTTTTTTCTTCATGTTCTGAAACAAGAGAGGGAAATCGGGGTGGGATCATGTTTAAATCCAGAGCTGAAGTGCAAATCCTCATGGCCACAGATCCCACAAAGCCAAATTGCATCCCTGCAGTGCTGTGACATTCCACTGCTGGTGCAGTGAGGGGTGACAAAAAAGGGGGTTTTTAACCCAAAAATCCCCACCAGGAGCCCACAGAACTGGTTCTGGAACTAGGAATTGTAACACCACCCCCTGCAAAGCCCTACACGTCATCCTGACTGGCTCTGCCCCAGGCTTCCCTGTGCACAGGGATTATGGGAAGGAGCCACTGCTTCCTTGTGCCACCCAAAGGAAAGGTGCTGGGAGAGCTCCTCACCGCGATGTTGAGTTTGATGGTTTGTCCCTCCTTGAAGCCCAGATCCAGTTTGGGACCCTGATCTGGGTTCTGGGCCTGGTGAGCCAGCTCACTCTGCTGCTTCACCCACCTGCAGGAATGAAACACATGGAAAAGGAGAGTCACCAATCAGCTCCAAGCTCTCCCAGAAAAATCCTGCTCCACATCATCCCCTCTGACCGGCAGCACCTCTTCAAAGGCAATGGAGGTGATCTGAGACCTCACCTGATGAAGCAACAAGGCAACACTGATTCCCACCAGCAGCTGAGCCACACAGATCCTCCAGCCAGCAGCACATCCCACCCCAAACCCCACTATTCCTAGCAGCTACAGCAGCATCCCAGTCCCTCAGGAGCAGCCCCTACTGGTGGCATGTGAAGCAATGCATATAAATTAAGGAATCTGACCAATTTTGGATGGGGAAGCTCAGTTTGGGACCCTGCTGATACAGACTGGGAAACACTGGACAGAGGGAGAGCTGCCTGCACAAACAGGTGTTTCCACCTCTCCACACCACTCCTGCCTGCTCCAGCGTGACAGGAGCTCACACCTTCCTCTTCTCCACCCTTCTGATGGACAGCTGCCAAAAAACAGAGCTGAGAGGACAGAAGGAAAGGCACAGACTCACTTAAAATGGTCCTGGAGAGCCACGTTGAAGTCAAAAGCATCTCCTCGGTCCCCAAAGCCGACTCCGATGAACGCCCGGCGGCCTGGGGAGGGAGGAGGAGTCAGGGCTGGAATGCAAAGCTGCGGAGGAAGAGGGATGGGATACCCCATCCCACACAGCCTCGTGCCTGCTGCCACCTCCAGCAGGAGCTGGGACTCCAGAGACTGAGAGATGGGACAGGAGATCATAGGATCCGAGT